ATAAACCACTTCATCAGAAGCACCTTTGGTAGAGGCCATTTCTGCTCCTGCAGGGAATGAGGATCCTACAGCATCCAGGTGGCACGTGGGTTGCTTGGATTTCTTGGAAAACACAGAGATTTCTACAGCAGGGTCTCAGCCCTGGGAGCTGTTGTAGCTGTTGTGCTCAGACACAGGGTGGAGATCATTCTTCCAGTGCTGCCAGGGAATGATGAACACCAGGAAAAACAAAACAAAACCAGGAAGCTCACATTTCTTGGCTGTCCTCTTGCAGAAGTGAAAGAAGTTTCTAAAAGCCTGGTTCAAGCCTCTGGCAGGATGGAAGCAGGAGAAGAAGCTCCTGTAAGTGCCTTTTCTGTTTCTCACTTGCAGACAAAGCCACACAAGAAACCTGTCAAGGTTCTCTTTTGTTTTTGAAAGGTAGCCACTTTGGGATTGGAATTAGTTCCTGAGCTCAGCCCTCCCTTCCACTCTGAGCTGTGGGATGGGGATGTGGATGCCAGTGCTGGGCTGATGTGGAGAGAGAAAGATGTGGCAGAGAAAAGGCATCTCAGTGGGCTGGAAGAGACCCCAGATGCAAATTTTGGGAATGGTTTGTCCTGATGTGGGCAGAGGGGGTGTGAGGGGGAAGGTGTTTAGGAGTCTCGGGTGTTGCTGCGATCAGCAGGGTGGGCAGCTTTGGTTTCCTCTCGAAAACCTGCAGTCACAGCTGAGGGCGAATTTCCTCCAAAATATGATACAGAAAAGAAATTTTAAAAAACTAATTCCCAGACAAATCTTTTTGTGGCACTTTTCCATGGTAGATCCCTGCTCTCCCACTGCTTTGTCTGAAGTGCTCTGCAGCACTTGCCAAAGAACTGTGAGACGTAAAAACATTTCAATCCAGCTCAAACCCATTTTTTCTTTTCTTTTCAGCTGCCTAGAACTGCCTGGAATGGGTATTTAAGCAATTTCAGTCATGGGACCATAGCAGGTATGTCCAGAGCTTCACTCGCACTCTGAGTCTGTGGGGTGGAGGGGCTCCCCTTTCCCCGGGTGTCTGTGGGGAAGGAGCCATCCCTAAAACCTGCAGATCCACCATGGGATGTGTCCTTGTTGGGATGCACAGCACAGCCAGGGACTAACAGCTTCATGTTCTCATTTCTGAGTGGCTGCAGATCTCTGCAGGGAGAAACAGATCCTCAAGGAGAGACTGGAGCTACACATCCAGGCCTGTTTGGGATTGCTGGAATATGAGCCCCAGGGAAAAGATGGGTAGCTTTGGCTATGGCTGAAAAAAATGTGGGTTTGGGGGTGAAGGGGTGTTCACATGATTTTGCAAAACTTTTTTTGGGTTTGTTTTTTTTTTTTGTTTTGCTGTCAGAATCTGAAGATTAACCTTGATTTTTAAACTCCTCATTAACCTTCAAAGTGCCAACAGCACCAGGCAAATCCTTTCTCCTACTGTGTGAAATGGGCTCCTCAGTGACAGCTTTTTTCCTGAAAATCAGACACCAGAAGTAGGAGGCTCCCAATCACTCACCATTTCCTGAAATCTAGGCTGCAGCCATCTAAACACTGACGCCAACAGTTCCAGGGAGTGACCACTGCAGGGATTGTCTCATGCCTTGTCTCATGCAGAATTGATTCCAGCAACATTATTCCAGCTGAATCTCTCCCTCTCACCATAACTGAGGACTGGATTCTGGTGCCTACATGTCCTCAGCTTGGATGAGTCTTTGAGCAGCCTGGGATAATGGAAGGTGTCCCTGTCCAGAGCAGGAGGGTTGGAACAAGATGATCTTCAAGGTCCTTTCCAACCAAAACCATTTTGGGATCCTATGAATTGTATATTTTCCACTTACTAATGCCTTTTACCAGAATCCATGTCTTCTTGTCCTAGAGTTGGCATGGAGAGGGGTCAGTGTCTTCCCAGGAGCAAGATGTTCAGCATTTCCCCTCTGGGAACAGCCCCACTGACATAAAGGTGCTGGTGGCAGGTTCTTTACCAAGAATTCAGATGTTGCTTTCTCAGTAGTGACCCAGTTGAATATAAGCAGCTAACAGTGAGCTGTGGTGGTGGATTTCCCGTAACTGGGAGTGGAAACTTCACTAAAAGCTTCTGCTTTTTTTTGTGGTGGTGTCAGGAGGAAGTAGTGACTTATGGCAGAGGAAACCATGCTCATTCATTTTAAAGTTTTATGTGTCCGAGTAAGGAAAGCAGAATTAATTTTGGGTTTTGGTTTGTTTGTTGTTTTTTTTGGGTTTTTTTTTTTTTTTTAATATGTACACATAGAAAGCTATTCCTATGCTTAGGTGAAGGCCAAATTGTTCAGGACACAAAATACTCACCAGACAGTGGCAGAAATTTAAACCCATGAAATTCCAGTACTTGAAGGGAGCCTACAAGAAAGATGAAGAGGGGCTTTTCACAAGAGCATGGAGTGACAGGACAAGGGGGAATGGCTTCAAAGAGGGTAGGTTTGGATCAAGTATTAGGAGGAAGTTCTTTGCTGTCAGGCCCTGGCACAGGGTGCTCAGAGAAGCTGTGGCTGCCCCTGGATCCCTGGAAGTGTCCAATGCCGGGTTGGACAGGGCTTGGAGCAGCCTGGGATAGTGGAAGGTGTCCCTGCACATGGCAGGGGGTGGGGCTGGATGATCTTGAGGGGCCCTTCCAACCCAAACCATTCTGTGATTCTATGAACTAAAGAAAAGCCCTCTGTGATGTGATGTTTACTTCCTGTGTGAATTGGAACAATACTTTGATCCCTTTCCCTTGCTCCTAGGCAGCCACTGGTCAAACACAACCTCAGGAGTGACAGCAACAACCACAGACACGTGGCTGGATGCTGCCAATTTGAGTGAATACCCATACGAGTACCTGGATGAGGAAGATTATGGGCTCTATGGCCTCTGCACCAAAGAGGAGGTGCACTCCTTCAGCAGGATGTTCTTGCCATCATTTTACACCATGATCTTCCTGCTTGGAATGGCTGGGAATGCCCTCCTGTTTACTGTCCTCCTCATGTACATCAAGAAGAAAAAGAAGATGACTGAGCTGTATCTGCTGAACCTGGTGGTTTCAGACTTCTTCCTGCTACTGACCCTTCCTTTCTGGGCTCTGTACATTTCTCAGTGGGTCACCTGGGACATCTTATGCCCATTCTTAAATTCCATGTACACTCTGAACTTCTACAGTGGCATCTTCTTTGTGAGCTGCATGAGCCTGGACATATATCTGCAGACAGTTCATGCTTGCTCTCCTCACAGCTCCACAGTGTGTAGGAATTCCATCCTCCTCTTACTAGTGATGTGGATCCTTTCCATAGCTCTCTCCATTCCTGATGGCCTCTTCACCAGCACAAGGCAAATTCACAACAAAACCATCATGTGCACCCAGGATTATGGCCAGGAACACTTATTTTGGAAAGTTGTCTTTCGGGTGATTCAAAACATCCTGGGATTCCTTTTCCCCTTCCTCTTCATGATGTTCTGCTATTCCCGCATCATGTGTGTCCTCAACACCTCACAAATACCTGGCTCCAGGAGAGCTCTCTGCTTAGTCCTTGCTCTGGTGGGGGTCTTCTTTGTGCTGTGGTGTCCTTACAATGTTGTGCTCATCCTCCACTCCCTGCAAGATGTTGGTGTGATCAGGAGCTGTGAAAGCAGTAGGAAACTGGACTATGCCCTGCAGATCACGGAGAGCTTGTCCTTTGTCCACTGCTGTCTCAACCCCTTCCTCTATGCTTTTGTGAAGAAACGGTTCAGGGCATATTTGTGGAAGATACCTCAGGCCATTTTCAGGAGGAGCGCTTTCTTTCCCATCCAGGACTCCCAGACGAGCGCATCTTGCAGCAGATATGCAGCTGAGATAGAAATGTTGAGCATCACAAATGCATCATAAATATTTACATTATTTACATCATGTGTGGGCCCTCTGTGCTCTATTTTACCAGTTGTGCCCATGATGGAGCTGGTGTGAGCCCACAGCACTGTGTAACCAGATAGCTCATCCTAGCAGCAGCCTCGAGATGAGGACTTTCCATACTCAGATTGGAAAAGTACATGTGGGATCGGTTTCTGTTGCAAGTGGAATTGTTACGAAAGGATTGTCCTGGATTTGCACTAGTGAAAGAAACCCAGTTCCCATCTAGACTATGTGAGGCAATAGCAAGTAAAGGAGCAGATTTCTCAATGCTGTACTTTAAAAAATGCAAAGTGATTCTTGAGAAGAGAATCTCCTCCTCCCTTGTGTGGGCTGAGGAATGGATTTCCATGCTCATCCAACAGGCCAGAAACACTGCCAGGGGATGGCTTTGCTTCTGGCTCTTACCATCTGCTAGATGATTTAACTGGGATAATCTCATTTTCTACCAGGAGATACAACAGGAAGGACTGGACACCTTTAAGCTGAGTTGTTCTCTGTCATGGTGAGCTGTGCCACACTCAGACCTGCTGAGCAGGGAACTGACTGTCCAAGGGGCAGAGCCTTGGTTAGAGATCAGTTTGATCATCAGCTGATTTGAGACCAGTTTGATCAAAACAAAGTTCAAACCAGTAACAATCAGTGAGAAAGAGATAAAAAGTGGGCTCAGCAGAACAGTGGTGGAGGTATTTGCCTTCCAAGATCTGGTTTGACAAGCTAAAAAAGATCCACATATACCACCTGTAACATAAATACTGGCTTTAAAATACCACAGAGTGAGAGCATTGCCTGAACAGAAGAGCACAGAGAACTGATGGTCAGTCCTTATTACCCAGTGCAGCTTTGAAGTTCAAGGTTCTGAGTTTGCTGACTTTTATTTCAAAGCATTATTCACCCCATATGCTCCTGAACCTTAAATGGTCCCTTTCCATCCTGAAAACCTATTAAGTCTGTACAGCCTAGAGCTGTACAAGTAAAATTATTAATTTAAGAGAAAACACTCATCACCTTTATTTTATTACCACATAAATTTACAGGACTGAGAAGGGCTTTGAGTTGATCACTGCTGTTATTTTTCTTCCCAACATTGCTACAGTGTTTTTCCAAAATGGTAAGTTTGGGAGCTTTTCTTAAAAAAAAAACAAAGCCAGAATAAATATTTAGCTGATGCTATGATGTGGCCTTCACTCCAGGGGTCAGGTCACTGGAGGGCATGTGGAAAGGGACGGCAGCTGGGAAGCTAAAAAGAAGATGAAGATTGTAATCCCAGACAGAGGAAGGCTCTTGGGACAGTGGAAAACTAATGATGGGATGCTCTAGGGAAGAGCAAAGGCCAGGAAATAAAGGGGAGTTAATGTCACTCTCCATCCTGCATGAGAAGAGATCCAAACACCAGTGGCTGGGACAGGCTATGGTGACAGTCTGTGTAGATCTGGTTGGCAACACCCAGAAGAGCAGTGCCAGGTGGGACACGAGGTTCCTGACATTGTCCCCAGACTCCACCTGGAGAGAGGTAACAGAGGAGTTTGAGAAGCAGAAGGGAAAGTGGGTAAAGGAGAAGTGCCGTGGTCCCTTTGGGCACTGCTCCCCGGCCAGGGGCTGGGTGGGATGTTTGGAGACTCTGGACTCCTCTGGTGCCAAGCCAATGCAGTGACTGAAGCTCTTCTCACTCGTGGGGCAGCTCTGCTGCTTTGCTTTGCACTCAGAGCAGTTACACTTCCACTGTTCATTGGCAAAGCAGTCCTGGGACACCATGTGCTGTGGAGAACACCAAAATGTCAGAGACTTTTCTTGCTCTTGGCTTTTGAGACCAAATCAGCTCAGCTGTGACCTCCTTGCCTCAGTCCTGTGCTCATTTCCAACATCCGCTTTTGGTTTCATTTTTTCAGTGGGTGTCCATAGTTTGGTCTTAAAGGCAGAAATTACAGAGTGGGATTCTCTGAACATTTTCCTTACAAAAAATCTGGGCTCCATGCAGCTTAGAGAAGGGAGTTTGCCTCATGCCAAAACCCATCCCCCTAACACAGCATGGGTGCTGCAATGGGATTCCAACATACCTTCCACCTTAAAAATCTCTGTTTATCCAGTGACAAGTTCACTCTGGAGTGCTCCTCAGGGGCAAGGCAAACACTGGCAGGCAATGATGACAGAGGTTGTCAGCTCTGCCTCTGCCTATCAGGTGATGGGTGGGGATAAAATGCACATTCCTGCCTCAGCCTGTCTCTAGTCCCAGCTCCCGGCACAGAGCTCTCATGATGCTCTGGGTGATTCTCCTCTGTACCTTGGTGTCATCGCTGCTCGGTGGGCTCTATGTCCTGGGTGTGTTTCGGAGACGGAGACCAGATGAGCCACCCCTGGAAAAAGGTACCATTCCCTGGCTGGGCTATCTGCTGGAATTCAGAAAGGACAGCTCAGAGTTTCTCAAAAGGATGCAGAGGAAGCATGGGGATGTTTTCACGGTGCTGATCGGTGGCTATTACTTCACTTTTGTGATGGATCCCTTCTGCTTTGGCACCATTGTGAAGGAATCGCGATCCAAACTGGACTTTAGGACTAATGCAGCTCGGCTGGTTGTGCAGGTTTTTGGCTACAAGCCCATTGAAGCCACTCAAAATGTAGTTCATATATCAAGCACAAAGCACCTGATGGGAGATGGCCTCACTGTCCTCACACAAGCCACCATGGAGAGCTTTCGGAAGCTGCTGCTTTTCAACCTGAGCTCAGGAGAAAAGAGAGTGTGGCAGGAGGAAAACCTCTTCCACTTCTGCTACAACATTGTCTTCAGAGCCGGCTATCTGGCTCTGTATGGCACCGAGCCACCCCAACGGGCAGGGAACAAGGACAAAGCTGAAGAGCAGGATCGCCTCCACTCCAATCAGCTCTTCCAGGAGTTTCGGAAGTACGACCGTTTCTTCCCTCACCTGGCCTATGCTGTGATGCCTCCCAGGGACAAAAGAGAAGCTGAGCGGCTTAAGAGACACTTCTGGAACATGCTGTCTGTGAAGAAGGTCTGGCAGAAGGACAATATCAGTGGCTGGATAAGTGATCAAGACCAACTTCTGGCTGAAAATGGTGTCCCTGAGCACATGCGGGATCGTTTCATGTTCATGCTGCTCTGGGCATCCCAAGGCAACACGGGCCCAACTGCCTTCTGGCTCCTCTTGTATCTGCTGAAACATCCTGAGGCTCTGAAGGCTGTGAGAGATGAGGTGGATAAAGTCTCAAGGGAGAGTGGGCAGGAAATAAAGGCAGGGAGCCCCCCAATTACTGTCACTAGGGACATGCTGAACCAGACTCCTCTGCTGGACAGTGCTCTGGAGGAGACCCTGAGGCTGGTGGCAGCCCCAATGCTGGTCAGAGCTGTCCTCGAGGACACCTGTCTGACGACAAGCAGTGGGACAGAGTTCACCCTCCGCAAAGGAGACAGGGTGGCTCTGTTCCCACACATCTCTGTGCAGATGAACCCAGAAATCCACGAGGAGCCTCACAAATTTAAATACGATCGTTTTGTAAACCCAGATGGCACCAGGAAAGATTTCTACAGAAATGGGAAAAAGCTGAAATTTGTCAACATGCCTTGGGGGGCAGGAGTTTCTACCTGTCCTGGGCGGTTCTTTGCTACTGCTGAAATGAAATTGTTTGTGTTCTTGATGCTGAGTCACTTTGAACTGGAGCTGGTCAATGAGGAGGAGGAGATCCCAGCCATAGATATCAGCCGCTGGGGGTTTGGGACGATGCAGCCTGTCCATGACATTCAGTTCAGATACCGGCCACGCTTTTAACCTGGGGAGTCCTGGTGGTGTTTGTTCTGGCGTCACCTATGGGACAGATTGTCTGATCCCGTGGTTATCAGATCAGTGCAGTGCCATCATTGATATGATCATGTTTGCTCAATGTTTGTCATGGCTTTTGTTTTTACCTCCTCCTCATGTGCTGCTGCTGTGTTGTGTTAGTTATGGGATAGAAGTTAATCTGCACAGAGACAAAATGTATCCTGCCAGGCTAATCCCAACCCCATCCTGGGGGCCATCAGCCCTTTGAAAGCCAGTAGGAACACAAGATCAGATTGGGAGGTGGAAACCCAAATTCGGGGCTTCCAAGGAACAAGGGTTTTATCCAGGTTCCTCCCCGGGCTGCCCCAGCAGAGCATCAGGTCCCAGCATGACTCCCATGGAGATGTGTCATCAGGAACAGCTCTCTGGATCACTGCCTGGCATAAAGGGGGTTGTGTCAAGGCAGGGGAAACATCCTATGGTGTGTAGGGGAATTTTGGGACTGCACAGAACTTAGGAGTGTTTGGGGGAAGAACCAAAGGGGGATAAAGGAGGGATTTTGTCACCCTGAAAATTAAACCTTCTGATCTTGTTTTCATAGTTTCTAGCCACTTTCCCAGGAAAGTAACTATAAACATAGATGTGTATATATCATCTGTCCAAGAAACATCTTTTGATGGACGTTTCACATTACCAGTGTGATTGGGAAGGTGGTAACCTGACTCTCCAATCCCTGGTCATTGTCAAGAATCTATAAATATTGAAGTCACAAAAATAAAATCATCCTTTTACATACATTGAACCATGTCTGTGTGAATCATTCTGTGTCCTACAGCAACAGGATTTAGGTGATTTGGGAGGAAAATTGAGATGCAAGGGGATGAAAAGGGCTGGTTGGGTGCAAATAGGTGACTGGTCCATACACTTGTCTGGTCACACCCTGCACCTGATCATTTATTTTCTACCTTTAGTATCATTGGCAGGATGGCATCAGCTTGTGGTGAACCACTGAAAGGTCAGAGAGCAGCAAATATCCTCTCCAGAGATGTAAGAATTTCCTTGGGGTTTTCAAATTGTCTTGTTTGTGGTTCTCTTCTTGTATCTGATGAGGCCTCCAAACAGAGCAGCCTCAATCCCTTATGGGCTACAGCCACTCAAACATATGTTTTATCTGCTGGATCAGTGCAGGATAAAACTTTGCTCAACAAGCTCTGCTTTGCTTTATTACCTTTCAACAATTAGGGTTCTAACCACTTCCTTACACAAGTTAAATCCAAGCCTCTCCTGCATGGAGAACAGTGGATTGATTTTAATGCTGACACTAACCTTGAACTTTGGAGATTATTTGTGGTCGAGGAATGAAACTCAAACTTTTTCACACACATCCAAACGTCAGATCCAGATTCTGCTTTGTTCTGCAAAGGGCAGGGTGATGTTGTAACTGTGTGTTAATCTGCCTACCTGCCTGACTGGTCATTAGCCCCAACCTCATGGTGGTGGTGGAAATTCAACAGAAACTATCAAGCAGTTGTGGCAGAACCAAGGAAAAAAAAAAAACCTACCTGTAAGGCTTGACTGCGACAGCAGTCAATATTTCCATTAGCAATTCCAGCACTTTTCACTCCTTCCATGCTCCATCTACAGCTCTCACCTATTTTTTTGTCACCCATGGGTTCACTCCTCTGAAGCCCTTCTCACATTCTGGTCAATGCGAGTTCTAAACCATGCTCAGGAATGCCTGGGGGTAGCTGGGCAGCTCAGAGCCATCATCACATCCTGACCAAGTAGTGTCCTCCTTCCAAAGCTCTAGGAAAAGGATTTTTCATGTGGATGTCTTGCATGGATGTGGCTCCCAGCTAATAGAGAGTGTGTACTGGTTATTACAGAGAGCCCAGGTCAGAGTTGAGGGGCGAGGGGTGTGTGCTCACAAATGTGGAATGGGATTGGAAAAGGAATGTAAAAGTAATGAATCAATTCAGCAGAAAAATCTGTGTTTATTTGCTCGTCAGAATGGTTTATTTAACCAAACAGTGTTGAGTCTATAAAAGAGCTCAGACATGCTCAAATGCATGCAATTGTGAGAAGCAAAATAAAGGAAGTCATATATGGAAGAGCATGAAAGCTCCAAATGAGTTAATCTGCAATTAAGTTTTATGTTTAGATAGGTTTTTCCCTGACACTGAGCTTCCGATCCCAAAGTGCACCAGCAAGAGCAAAGAAACAGCCTGTGCCAACAAAAACCTGACTGAATTTGTGGAAGAAGTTAAATTGGATGGGATCCAGAGTCTTGAAAGGTTTCCTGGGGGGCAGCCCTCATTGCAGTGTCTGTATTGTGCAACTCCTCTCCTCCCAGAGCACGGAGTCTGGTCCTAAGCCCTTGAGTTTCTCTCCTGTCGCACACAGTAAAGACAATATCACTTAAACATTCCAAATTTTACAATCTATTGAGTTGGTGCCTGCTCCCCACAGCACAGTGAAAGCTCCTCTGCTCTCAGTCACAGTTCCTGCTCTGCATGCTAAGCAAGGGAAGGAGTCACAATGCTCCATCTTTCATGTTTGGAACCATATAGGTTAAACTTGTGGGAAAAAAAGCATTCCTGGATAAACAGCCTCACTTTCAGAATTGAACTGCAATGTTTTCCTGTTCTCCTTCCTCTAAACACAGCCAGACACAGCTCTGAGAAAGCCTCCTCTTACTGCTGTTCATATGGAAGATTGAGGGATTCATCAATCACTGCAGAGAAACTCAAAGGAACACTGAATGTGTGAGTACAAAGCAATGACACAGCCAACACCATCCTTTGCAGAGGAAAGCAGGGTTTGAAGGTCAAAGAGGAACATGACATTTCAGGATTTTTAAAAAGAGTTAAAACACTCAGCCTTTACCAGGGACACTGCTGCCATATCTCCAGGGAGATACGTCCCTACTCCCCAGGGAAGAGCAGCTGTTTCAGAGTGGCAAAGTCTCCTAGCGGTACAAAATCTGCTCGTTACAAGGTCACTGTGGAGTTTGCTGCCTTCACTACCCAGTGTCCCAGTTCCCCCCAGGGGTCACACATACACAGAAACAGCCCGTGGCAGGCAGGACACACGGATAAAACACGGTGGGGTCGGGCAGAGAGCAGCTCCCCCAGCTCAGCTGCCGCACCACATCTCGGGAGGAGGGTTTGGTACCAAACACTCAGTGCAGGAGGGCACAGGGAGGCAATTCCCATCTGTCACCACATCCACATCACTGTGCAATCATGAGGCCATACTTGGAGCACAGCAGGCCCCTCTTCTTTTCCCGTTCCATGAGGAAATTCCTCAGTTTGGTGGTGGGGAAGGTGACCAGTGCCTGCTGCCTGTTGTCCAGACCTGTCTCCTGGAGCCACGGGCTCTGAAGGCACTCGGAGGCTGACGGCCTTCCCCTAGGACAGACAAAGGTGAGGGGTCAGTCAGGGATCCGTGCTGCATGAGGAGGCTCCTTGCAAACGGAGAGAAGGGGCAACAGCTGGGATCTGCTGCTGGGGAGACAGGCAGCCTCTCACCAAGGGTTTGCACACAGGGTGCTCTGGAGGAAGGACACTGCTCCCCCGGAGAGACCCGCGTAGCACCGCATCAGCTTCAGTTTTCCTTTCCTGGCTGTTCTCAGGAATTCACAGGGTACATCCGAGCTGACGGGGTAGTTGGCACTCAACCTGCCCCCGGAGAAGAGAATTGAAAACATGAAGCTGCCTCCAGCTCTGGGGCTCCCAGCATGAGGAGGATGTGGAGCTGTTGGAGCGAGTCCAGAGGAGGCCAGCCAAGTGAGCAGAGGGATGGAGCACCTCTCCTTTGGGGAAAAACTGAGAGAACTGGGACTGTTAATCCTGGAGAATGCTTCAGGGAGACCTCAGAGCCCATTCCAGCCCATACATAAATGAGCTCCAAGAAAGCTGGAGACTGACTTTGGATAAGGGCTTGTAGTGGTGGGACAAGGATGAACAGTTTTAAATTAAATGAGAAGAACTTTAGATTAGATATTAGGAAGAAATTCTTCCCTGTGAGGGCAGTGAGGCCCTGACACAGGTTGCCCATCCATCCCCTCCATCCCCCAGCTTTCCATGGCATAACCAAAGGAGATTAGCTCTGAAATTGTGATTTTAAAGCCACTGCCAGGGTAGGGAACAATCAACTGACTCACATGATGAAGGCTGTGATTCCGACGGACCAAATATCAGTCTGGGGAAGGGCTCCTTGCTCTGTCAGCAGTTCTGGAGCTGGAAAAGTAAACTGGTGTGAGGCAAGTTCCTCTCCAACACACTGAGAGTAGCACAAAGGCAGTGGATACTTTTATGCTTTGCTGCCTTCCCAACAGGGAAGAAGAGGCAGCTCCCAGGACAGAGAAGCTTCTGCATGGATGCTGATTGCAGTGAAACCATGAGAACCTCTGGGCAGGTGGCAGCAATTCTTTATCCCTGGATAAATGGACACATGGATACCAGCCAGAGCGGCATTGCTGTGAGCTCTGTCCCCTGTGGTCTGCAGTGGGACAACTGTCACCATTCACTGCTCCCACAAACTCACAGTGTCACTGGAGAGCAGCACCTGGAAGACTCTTCTTGTTGGGACCATCTGCTGCCTTGACCAATGTTTCTGTCTTTCTGTTTAGCACAGATTGCAGATAAGCCCCAAGCCGCTGTGACTGAGCTCTACTCACCCATGGTTTCCACATAGTCCGAGCATTTGTCCATGGTAATAAACTTCTCTGGTGTGTAGAACTGTGCATTCCCAAAATCCAGGAGTTTCAGCAGGTTGGGCTCGGTGATGATCATGTTCTCTGACCTGAGGTCCAGGTGCAGGATGTTGTGTGCATGGAGGTACTCGGTGGCACTGAGGATCTGCCACAGGTAGTCTCGGACCTCCACTTCTGAGTACGATGTCCTGGGGGGAGAAGGGATAGAAAATGCAGGTGTCCTGTGTGCATGTCCATGTTCTACACCCACCATCACCCACCCCTAGGTGTCTGTCCCATCAGACCCTTGAGAGTCAAGAAGAAACAACTCTAGTTTAGCAAATCAGCTCTGTGTGGAGAGGCTGGTCCATCCTGTGAGTCAGTTTACAGATGCAACATGTTCAGGATGTTGTAGAGCTGAAAGAGAGAAAGCAGCTTTGATGCCCACAATTCCCTCTTTTTTAATCACAGGATTTCAGCAGATCCATTTTGTGCCACTGTGAGAAAGAAACAATGAGTCTTCCTGACCACAGTAACCTCCATGTTCGGGTGTTGGAGTTAATAGGTGTTGGTGTAAGGAAATCCTTCATGCATCTCATTATGGGAGATGGAGTTTGATATCAACCACTGTAAACCGCTTTCAACATCTCAGCTGGGTGGCCCTGAGTTGTTTCGCTGTAGGAACTCAAGTAATTTTTTTTATCTCACAAGAAGATGCAGAGCAAACACTTTACAAATCCTGTGTGCAATGACAGATGGAGAGGGGTGATCCAGTTTGTCAGGAGAAAGAAACAGGTATCTTCCTCCCGACAGCAGCAGCCCTGACTGGAAAACTCTTCGCTCTTGTTCTTACCGTAACGCCAAGGAGTGGAGCAGCTCTGGCCCCACACACATCTCCTGGATCAGCACCAGGTGCCGGGGGCTGACGTAGGCGCCCTT